GAGATGCGATAGGTAGACAAGTGAAATTTACGTAATAAAATTCTAAGGTAATGTCATCAACTTTTTAAAGGAAGGGAAGAATAATTTTAATTGGCATTTTACTATCTTCATAGCCCCTTAAAAACAGACTGAAAATTCCACAGTACACTAGGTTCGAAGTTTATATTAAAACAATAGTAATAATAGGAACACAATAGACTACAATAATATAAATTGTAGAAACCATATCTTATAATCTTTGAGCTGTTAAGAGTCGTGACTGAAAATTAGATCTTCGTCAAAATGACGATAATACTGCGATTTTACCAGTCATTCAGGTAAGGTTTTTTATGCATTTTCAGATTCTGTAATTTTTAATATTTTGGAAATACATTTAAAAGTAGTGTCGAAATAGATAAATTATCTAAAGTATGATTATAGGTAAGCCGATTAGATTTTATTTTCAAAATATTATTCGTATAATGTTTATTGTCTCATATCTCAAAAGCTAAGTTAATTAAGCATTGTAATAGGGTTCATCCGGCGAATGGCCACTTTCATGTTTTATCGTCATTTCAGCATGACCAAATAGGTCTGTCTGATTGTCGTCTGTCGTCTGTCGTTTGTCTACCGTCTATATACATAATTACCCTACTAACACTTCGATGACGTCGCCTCAAAATTGTGTATAATAACTGTTATCGAAATTTTATAAAATAAAATACTCGTGTACTTGTAGTTTATGAATCCGTCCCGAATTTTTCCTCTTGGCGTCTGGATTTAAATCCATTTTTATCTAAATTTAATAAAAAACTCAGTTCACCGGACCTAACACTCTTGTTAGGTATACATGTCAGTATTGATTTCGGCGCTTACTTCGATTATCAAATATGTTAAAGGGTTTTATCACCGAGTTCACCAAATTTAAGCTGATAAGTGTTCAGTAGACACAATATATCCCTTTATTTCTAGCATGCCAAGGAGAGTTGATGGATATATGTATAAATAATGCCAGAGATTGTTACACTATTGATTTTTTATACAATTTTTTTTTAAATTTTAAGTTGAAATTTTGATCATTTTTATTTCGCAGGCGTAAGCTAAGAATGTATTGTAATAGGGTCTATTGGGCGAACGGCTACTTTCATGTTACTCCACGCTTCATGACTTCTAGGGTACAAATGAACTCTCGTTTAGATCAATTGTTGTCGAATTTTATGTGTAGAGAGCGGATTTATAAGCACAAAAAAATTAAGAATAAGCGCTTAAATAAGCACAACATTTTCAATAAAAAAGTTTTATTTTAAGCAAAAAAGCATTAAATAAGCATAACACGATCATTAAAAAAGTTTTATTTTAAGCAAAAAAGCATTAAAAACATAATCATATTACAAATCAAAGAACACTTCTTAGAACTTTGGATAAAATATTATTACAATAATCCTAGACTTTATATTTTACACACGTATTTCAGTTTTCTTTAAAACAATTTATGATTGTAATATGTTCCAAGTTGTCCACTGTAAAATTTTTTCGCCGATCATTTAAAATGTGTTTAAAATTGGAGAATATGCGTTCAACATCCACACTCGTTGTTGGCGCAAATTTGAATTTTGCAACTAATGTTGAATCTAACTCCAAATTTTCCATCTTCTGGCCTTGTAAAACACGAGCAACGTCGGAAAGAACACCGAAACCTGCATTTTTATTTAACACTTCGTCAAGTTTTTTAGATACTCTAGTACCAATATCACCCCTTAGTGCGTTTGCTTGTTGTTTAAATTCTTTCACTAAGTTTATGGCATCTACCAACAACATGTTGGGTTTTTCTAACTTTTCTATTACCTCACATACGAATTGATAATAGCTTCTTGGAAAAGCTAGATCTTGTCGCAAATCTTTGTTTTCCAAAATATTTATGCAATCTTTAATCGATTGAGAAGAATATTCGCTAAACTCCGGAACTACTTTTTCAAATTCTTTGATATATTTGTCATAATAAAATGTGGCCTGTAACCATGTTCCCCACCTCGTTATAATCGGCTCTGGGGGCAATGGTATGTTTGGAAATTTTTCCTTAAAATGTTGCACTCTTAGTGGGGCTTTAACAAAAATCTTTTTACTATTTGCCACTAATTTATTAACAGTAGGAAACTGCAAACGTATTCCTTCAACCACTCTGTTAAAACCGTGGGCAATGCAAGTAGAGTGAATTAAATTGGGGTACAATATTTTTAGATTATTTCCTGCTTTCAACATATAACGAGCTGCATCCGAGATCATCAATAAAATTTTATTCGCCGGTACGGCATTTGTCAAAAATAGTGACGTAAGACTGTCATTTACAAATCTGGTAATCGTATTGCCATTTGGTTTATCTAACATTTTCAAACTTACTACATACCCTCGACTAGGGAAATTTTCATTTAAGATTCTAACAATTTAACTTGCTACGTATCTTCCACAACTATCGGTTGTTTCATCGACAGCGAACCATAAATAATTATCTCCAATGCGATGTTTAATTTCGTTGTAAACTTGCTGAAACACTGGGCCTACATAATTTTTTCGGAGGGTACTTTCAACCGGAATATGTCGATTGCAGTGTTTTTCAAGGAATTCTTGAAGAGGGCCTTTCTCCAATTTTTTTAAAGGTATATAGGACTGGATCATCATTTTACATAAACCGAAATTAAACTGAAACTGCTCATCTTTTGTGGAAGTAGATGCAACAGATTCATGTATGGTCTGCTGTTTAATTTTAGAATCTACAAACATTTTCTTCCTTTCTACATGAAGAGTCGTTCTGACATGTTGGGTCACTTTATATTTTTTATCACTTTGAATCTAAAACAACGTACATATACAGGATTAACAAAGGAAAATAGATAAGAAAAAATTAGTGGGCTTACGGTTTTCACACAAGCTCTGCAGAATATTTTGTTGTTTTCTAATTTTAATTCTGGAAAATCCCTTATCCACTCATCCGGCGTCGATTTTACTTTCGGCATTCTTTTAAAATATTAGTAATATTACCAAAAAGAACTCAACATGTAACAAGGGAGAACCACGTATAACACTGTACTACGACAGATGGGATAGACTGATGGTTGTGAAATAAACGGTTCATTTACTTAAAAGTTTCCATTAGAAAAATTTTAAGATAGGTAGTTGGGTACAATAATCCTTTTTTCTAGAAAATCTTCAACGGTCTTGCCGTAAAATGCCGAAAAAAACATCTGGTTAAAAGCTTTAATTCATTATCAACGGAAGTAAGGATTTAAAGTCATAAAATCTATGGAGTATTTTTCCAATCCTATAATAAAATTTTATTACCCAAACGACCGGAACCTATTCAGAGAAAGGGTCGTGAATAAGTGTACTTCAATGGTCAAGTCCAGGTAAAATGCATACGATACGATACGGCTAACTAACAAGTATTTGTCATCCCGACAAGGCCGGCATTTGAACAAAATATGCATTAAAACTCATATTCGTCGAAAAAAAGCATTAAATAAGCATATAAGTTTTAATACGCATAAAATTGAAAAAAAAAGCAAATAGGCATTAAAAAAAATGTGTCAAATGACTCCAAATTGTATCATAGTTACAGATATAAAAAAGTTTTGAAGTGCTTACATTTTTCACAAAAAGCATTAAACCTAGAAATCCGCTCTCTATTTATGTGTGTAAGGATTTCGTGTAACTGATAAAATATTAACCGTCTTATTTTCTCTAACCATCACCACCAACAATGTGCTGACGTCATCTGAAAATTTTGCGTAGTATTTAAGATTTATAAAATATTCCTACGCTTGTGGTTTATGAATCCGTCTTGAATTTCTACTCTGCACATCCAAATTTTTTGAAAAAAATAAAATTGTTCAACAATATTTTACAATTAAACCTCGAACCTCTAAAACCGAATGTTCTGCAAATGTTTTAAGGTATCGTAAGCTGGCAAATCTGTCCGCCGTCTGTATTAATTTTTTTAGACACATAATCTCCGACACTACCGGGCCGATTGTTGTTAAATTTTATATCTATTGTGAATATCATGTAGGTGGTAAAACGCTACCAAAACTTTGTCTAATCATCCCCACCAACAATGTGACGTCACCTCAAAATTGTACATAGTAAAATAAAATAATATAATTCTACACGTGTAGTTTATGAATCCGTGTTGAGATTTTTACCCAAGACATTCAGATTTTTGGAAAAAAATCAAAATTTTATAATAATGTTTATTTATAATATTTAACATTTATTAATATTTAAAGTGTGCAAAATATGATGAATCTATCCTTGTGATTTATCATTGCAATCATATTTTTTAGAATTGCTTACACAGAGTGACTAAAAAAATTAATGAATGGGTCAATTAATTTTATTGTTTAAATCGAAAACCAGTTACTGACTCACACTGTTGTTATTAATATTATACTGCAGGCATCCCAACTGATGTAAGTGTCCATACAAAAATGTTGATGACGTCATTCCAAATTCAATAAAAACTCATGGATACGTGCTTATTTTAATTTTCAGGGGTTTCCTTAAAAAAAATCAAAATCCCAACATCAAATTTTATAATTTTTCAAAAAGCGGTATTTGTTGGTCTGTACTTCAGGCACAAGGAAAGTTCTGTCGAAATAAACTTGGACCATTTTTTAAATTATTTTTACTGTTGTTGCTTTAAATCCTTGAAAACAAGGAAATCAAGGTTACAAAATATTTATCTTCATCAGATTTTATTTCGCACAGGTCATTCTCGTGATACTTAAAACGTGATCGATAACTATTAAAATCATAGGAATCTTTTGAGCACTCTATTAACGATAATTCTGCAACAATAATCTTCAAACTTATTAAATGGAAAACTTTAGATAAAACGAAAAATTTTAAATGTATCGTTGTCATCAATTTATTTGCACGAATTCATCCACACACTAAGCACCAAAACAACTTCCTTTTAAGTATTTTTTTTTTATTTTTATACATACAAATAATAAATAAATAGAAAATCAAAAATTTTCACTACTTTTTTCTTTGTTCTTGCTTTCGACTTCATCACTATCTTTATCGTTCCACTTCTGCACTTCCCCCTTCGCAAAAATAACATAAAACAACCCACATCCCAAATAAATACCAGAAGCCAACCAGAACACCTTCCTCCACAAAATAAGATCCTTCTGTAAGCACAAAATACCACTTAGCTCTATTTATAGTACCATTCATACCCTTACCTTATCAGTTCCCAAAAACCCGACAGTCAACGGTCCCATAATAGAAAAAATCTGCGAACACCCATTAGTCATTCCAAAAAGAGTACCCGCATGGTTCGGCGCCAGATCTATAACGTTGACCAAACCCCCAGAATTGGCAACCGATGACATACCCACCGCCACTATCAACATCGCCATCGCTAATTCTTGCTGAGTACCATCAACAAAACCCAAAGCAAATAAGGCCGCACTTGGCATAAAACAAGAAATGGAGTTGCAAATTTTCCTTGCGGTGATAACCGATACGGTTTTATTCGAGATGAGTTTATCAGAAATAGGGGACGCCACGAAGTTTATTATAAACATTAGGCAGTACGGGAGCGCTGATAGTTGACTATTCTGGAATTTTTGCATCTTAGAAGCGAAATTGTTAAAGGTGGTACTCACCGAATTCATGTCAAAATTCATCACGCTGTTCAGAAAACTGGGGATTTCTGTTAGGAGGGTAAAGGTACCCCATGCTTGGGCGCAGCTTGTTATGAAAATGGCCCATATGGGTAGAGATGTGAAGATGGATTTCCACGGTGTTGGTACTTTCTTTTGGTCTTTGGTGACGGAGTTACTGCTTTGGATGTACTTTCTTTCCTCCTCTGTGATAGTTTTGTGTTCTGAGGGAGAGTTAACTATAAATATTCCGAAAATAATGCCCCAAATTATTCCAGCGGAACCATAAATGTAGAACACGGAAGGCCACCCGAGGGATGAGTCAGCAATAGCACCAGATAGTATCATAGAGATAACAATTCCCAAACTCGACCCAGAATATACCATACTAGAAACTCTAGTTCTTTCGCTCAGTGGTGTCCACTGACTTATCAAAACGTGGGTAGATGGGTAGAGGAAACCTTGATTCAGACCTTGAATGACTCGGCAGACTATAACTCCTGTGGGTCCTACAGCTTGCGCCATTACTGGTATTAGAACGTTGAAAATTGATCCTAGTATCATGGTACCAGTGACGAAGTACCTAGGGCCAAAGTGCTCCCCGATTTGACCAGCACCAATCTGGAAAACTACGTAACCCCAAAAAAACGACGATAGAATTGTATCTGTGTTGTCCCAATCTGGATAAGTCTGTCAAAAATTTTGAACTGTGATAATATTTAGGAAAACTATATGGTACTTACAGGTATGCTTGGATCTGGTGGATTTTCGTCCGTCATTGCTATTATAGCAACAGACAGAGCGGTGCGTTGGCCATAAAAAATTAGTAGACCAAAGAATATTATAACAAATTGTACGTGTCGGACGCCAATATATTCTGAAAGTAGTATTCATGTAGTACTGTGATTGTTTTTAAATATGTTAATGCATAATTACTTAGTCCAGATTTTTCCTTCTCTGGAACAATTGTAACTTTAACTTCGGTCATTTTCACACTCTTTAGAGAGACTAGTATGATATTTTAACACTCACTAAATTTTTATCGTATTAGGTATGTTTGGCATAATCTAATCACGCGAACTAAAAATTTGCATTAGTCTGTTGAATTGGGCTGATATTGCGGTACTAACAATAGGTACTTGAACAAAAACTGTTTATAATGAATATTTTACAGATTAGGAGTGGAACGTGCTTGAAGATGTTAATTGTTTATTTATTGCTGATAGTAGAACTTTGTTCACTGACACTGTCGTCACCTGTTGGAAGTCTCACTATCATTCAACATTTTGTTCTCAAGTTATTAAACTTTGTTTGATGACGATAATGTAAGTTGCTTGAAATCTGGCAGGCGTTTCAAAGTTGTTGCAAGTATGGTAAATTTTTACTCAAAATATATTTGTTTATCCCCCTTAAAAATTGTTGTCGTCATCTTACAATTTTACCGAATCTATCCTATCGCAAATGTGGAAAATATGATGAGTACACTATTTGTAATTTATCATTCCACTGATATTTTTTGCTTATACAGGGTGACTCAAAAATAAGTAATAAATGACTCAGTTTCTTTTGTTGATCAAATCAAAAACAAAACCGAATACTTTGAAATCTTGCAGACGTTTCAAAGTTGATGAGGTCATCTCAAAATCAATGAATCTTACCGAAAGTGTGCAAAATATGATGAATCTATTTTTGTGATTCATCTTTACATTAATGTTTTTTGGAGTTGTTATAGCGTGACCCAAAAAAATTAATGACCGACTCAATTTATTTTGTTGAATAAATCAGGAACGCTTCATTCCATTTCTTCGAAAATACTGTTATTATTACTATTACAGTGCACCATCCAAATTGATATAAGTGTCCTCGCTAAAATGTTGATGACGTCATCACAAAATTTTGTAAAAGAAAAACTCATTTGAAACATACACTTAGCCGACTTCTTAACATTTACTTTAACATTAGGTACATATCTTTATGTTAACTTATAGGGATTCTCATAAAAAAAATAAAATTCGCAAAATAAAGGTTTGTATTTTCTTTAAAAAGCTGGATGTTTTATTGTATTTCAGGGGCGAAGGAAGTTCTGTCAAAATAACCTTCTACCAATTTTTTATATTACTGATATATATTATGTTCGACATGAAATAAGTACAAAAAAAAAACAACACTTTTTACAATATGAATCTACGTTTATTCGCCAAGAAATTTCAAATTTTCGTTACTTTTTTCTTCAATTTCAGTCTCACATTTGTCAGTACTTTTCACGTCGTTCCACTTCTGTACTTCCCCTGAAGCAAAAGTATTGAAGAATAATCCACAAAAAACATAAATACCGGCAGCTATCCAGAACACTTTTCTCCATAGCATAAGGTCAGTCTACAAAAAAAGTGTTAATAGTACCTCACCAACCACCATGTACAAACCTTATCACTTCCAAGAAACCCTACAGTCAGTGGTGCCAAGATAGAAAAAATCTGGCCAGTACCATTGGTTATCCCCAAGAGGGTACCAACATGATTTGGTGCTAAATCTATGGTGTTGACGAAACCTCCCGCATCCGCACAGGCAGACATCGCCACAGACACCACCAACAGCCCCACTGCTACTCCTTTCTGCGTACTATCTATAAACCCAAGAGCAAAAAGTGCACAACCCGGAACTAAAGTCCCCAATGAGTTAAAAATTTTCCTGGTGGTACCAATGGACAGAGTTTTGCTAGAAATTAATTTATCGGAAATGGGTGACGAAACGAAATTCACGAAAAAGGTGACCATGTAGGGTAGCGCAGACAATTGACTATTCTAAAATACGAAAAACCAATAAATAAAATCAAATAGCACCAAAAGTCGTACCGAGTTAATGTCATAGTTCATGACACTGTCCATAAAGCTGGGTATTTCAGTGATGAGGGTATACGAACCCCAATTTTCGGCACAACTGGCTGCTAAAGCTGCCCAGAAGGGAAGCGAAGTGGCTATAGACAACCATGGTGTTGGTATCTTTGTTTTAGTTTGGATCACTGAATTCGTACTTTCGATGTATCGTCTTTCTTCAGCTGAAATACTTTTGTGGTCAGCAGGCGAATTGGCGGCAAACATTCCAAAAATAATAGCCCATACGATCCCTCCAGCTCCATAGAAGTAAAACACGTAAGGCCACCCAAGTTTTGAGCCGGATATAGCACCTGTCGAGAGCATAGAAATGACAATACCCAAACTTTGTCCTGAGTACACGATGGTAGAAAACCTTGTTCTCTCGTTAAGTGGTGCCCACTGGCTTACTAAAATGTGAACGCATGGGCAGAGAAAGCCTTGGTTCAGACCTTGAATGATCTGGCAGGTTATAACTCCCGCAGAGCCCCATCCTTGAGCCATTACTGTTGTCAGGCACATAACAATAGAGCCTAGTACCATGGTACCGACAAGAAACCACTTGGGGCCGAAGCGTTCCCCTAGTTGACCGGCACCTACTTGGGTGACAATGTAGCCCCAGAAAAATGAAGATAGGATGGTATCGGTATCTTTCCACTGTGGGTACGTCTGCAAAAATTCAAACATAGATGGGTGTTTGGGAGGTTGAGTACTTACGGGTATATCTGGACCAGGGGGTGTTTTTTCCGTCATGGCTATTATGGCAACGGAAATAGATGTGCGTTGTCCATAGTTCATTATTAGTGTCAAAAATAATAGAACAAATTGTATGTGGCGTACCCCAAGTTTACATTCTAGAATAAATTTTATTTGTGTTTTTTTGTAAAAAATGGTACTTACTGGGTTGAGATTCTTCCTCCTCTGGAGACATTGTTATTTCGCACATGTTCACGCTTTCTCAGTAAGAATATCAAATCTTAGAAGATAACTTTCTGATTTTTGTATTGTGAGTATTGATAAGATCTAATCACCAGAATCTAGATTTGCATTATTTTGTAATGAATTGTCTGTTTGTGATAATAACAATGGCAGGTACTTGAAGTATTAAGTGTTTGTAAATTCGGGTGTTGAAAAATAACAAGAATACACACAGTTTCAAACTTTTTTATTCTACAATACTACGAGTAGTTTCCACTTTTTCCTTCCTTCTGTCTTCGTTTTTGCTTTCACTATTCCTGAAGTAAAACTTGCGTAATAGTCCGGTAGGACAGTAAATCCCAGTCGTAAGCCAATATACTTTCCCCCATAGAATTAGATCAGTCAGTAACAAAAATATGCACACATTTGTTCTACAGGTGGTTAAAATTCGACCTTATCACTTCCAAGGAATTCCTCCGTTAATGGTGCCAAAATAGGGAACCACTTTCCATACTTAATCGTCAGTTTAAGAATAGTACAAGTATCGTTGAGAACTACTCATGTCATGTTAACAAACTCACCCGCATTAAAAAAACTAGAAGTGGCAACTGGTGGTACCAACAGAGAGTGTTTTGAATGAAATCAACTTGTCTGCGAAAACTTGCAAAAAAAGTAGGGGAGCGTTGATAAGTGATAATTCTATAATCTATAATTTACGAGAAATTATAACGAAAAGTACGAAACGGTACTCACCGAATTGATGTCAAAGTTCATTATGTTGCTGAAAAAGTTTGGGATTTCAGTGAGTAGGGTAAAAGTACTCCAGTTTTCGCCATAGGGGCTTACCAAGATTGCCCACTAGGGAAGGGAGCTGAGGATCGACTTCTATGGTCTTAGTACCTTGAAAACAATTTAGTCACAACTTGAAAATAACAATTTTGGCAAGTACTTTCTTTTTTCGGTTCAGGGAATTTCTACTATCGATGCGATTTCATTTCTCTGTGGAAATGTTCTTCTATAAGGAGAGCAAACCCCTAAAATATAGAAAGGGTGTGGATACCCTAATTTCGATTCTGCTATGGCACCGGTGAAGATGATGGAAGTAACTACACGTAGAGCCATGCCTGAGTATACAACGTTGGTAACGGTGGTTCTTTTACGCAACAACAAACCCTCGATTGAGACTTTGAATTACTCTACATATAATGACTCCTGTGGATCCCCAAATTTGTGCCATTATTGTAAGGAGGTTGTTGCACACTGAACTTAGTACGGTGGTACCGACTAGGAACCATTTAGGCCTAAAGTGTTCGCCCAGTTGACCAGCAATTGTTTGAGTGGCAATATAGCCCCAGAAGAACGAAGAAAGAATACTGTCGGTCTTGGTCCATTTTGGGTTCGTCTGAAAAACGTAGTAGTACTTAGATGGTACTTAGAGTTTAGTATTCAAGTTTATGCTGTCTGATCGGAAGCTAAGGAAGTATTGTAATCGGGTGACTGGCTACTTTTAGGTTTTCGTCTGTCGCCTGATGTCTGCCGTCTGTCCACGTCTATGTCGATTTTTATTCTAACTTTATGTAAAGGGATAAAAAATGATAAAATTCGGAAAATTAAATTTTTATATTTTTCGAAAAAGCTGGGTATGTTTTATTATACTTCACGGGCGAGGAAAGTTTTGTAAAAATAACTTTCGACCAGTTGTTTAGAATAGCTTATACCGGTGACTCAAAAAAATAAATGGAGTCACCTTTCCAAATTGATAATGTTTTTAATACAATGTTATTACGCCATTACAAAAAACACTACACGCATATTTATATTGATTTTAACTTATACGGGATATCATATAGTATTTAACATTAATAGCATGGTAAAAGGGGCCAGTCACCTTCTGGAGCCAGTAAAAACCAGTTACCTTGCGTGTATTGTTCAATATTTTATTTGTTTCTCACTTGTAAATAACTATTATAAACTACTAAAAACTCTAGAAGGTCCAATATTTGAAGAAACATCGTATGAGCTTTAGACGTATTGCCTTGGAAACGTACGTTAGCATGGGACTTATCATACCACTTATTGTGTTGTCTAGTTTTGTCATTTAGATTTTTCGATTTATCGTTTTCGATGTATTGAAATGAGTGTGGCGCAAACTATATTACTGAGGAACCAGCAATTGTGAGTGAAAATTTGCCTGAATCAATTTTGGCTGTCATTTCAACTTATAATAATTTAAAATGTTTAAAATATATGGCTGTATGAGTACGAGCAGGGCTGTAAAAATTTTACTACTTAGGGAAGAAAATCAGAATATGAAAACTGAAATAGCGAGCCTAACAAAAAAATAGAACATTTGGAAGTGGCAACAAAACAAGTGGAATACATGGATAGAAAAAACAGAAGAAACAATATAATAATTACAGGAATGAAAATAGAAGTTACGAAGAAAGAAATTTGAGGGAAGCAATTGAAATCTTTATGGAGAAATGCATGAACGTAAAGGTAAAAATTGAAAAAGCAAACAAAATAGCTAACGATATGATAGTGTGCGAGATAGAATCTCTTCCAAAGAAAATCGAAATCTTTAAATCTAAAGCGAGATTAAAGGGAACGCAGATATATATCAACGATGACCCAAACAAAAGATACAAGCGGCGATAAGGAAAATGGCAAAAGAACATAAAGAAAAGGGACATAAAGTCAAGTTAGGCTACAATAAATTAATAAGCGACGGCAACACCTTCATTTGGCATAACGAAGAAAAGAGGCTTAAGCCTCAAAAAAACTAGATTAGCAGGTTAAGGTAGATGCAGATAACCACAAAATGGACTGGAGTGATTATGGATATGATTTAAATAAAAAGGGAGAACAAAGTAAAGAAAATGGTAGCAAAAAGAAATCTAGTATTAAGGGAATGGGTAAAGTACAAAAAATAGACAATAAAAGAGAGAAAATTGTAAAATTGGCTCCGTGGAATATCAGAGGTCTCAATGAAGAAGGAGCGTTGAAAAAGTTAGTGCGAGAAATTAGGAAATATAGTTTTGATGTAGTAGCTATACAAGAAACAAAACAAAAAGAGAATCAAATAATAGAAATAGAAGACTATATATATTTTAATAGTGGGGATAAAAGCAAAATTAGAGGCACGGGCTTTATTGTACATAAAAAAGTAAAGCAACATATATTGCATTTTCAAGCGATATCAGATAGGATGTGCTGCTTAAGGCTGAAAGGAAGATTTCAGAAGATTACGCTTATAAATGTACATGCACCAACGGAAAAAACAGATATAGAAGTAAAAGAAGAATTTTATGAGACGCTCGATAAGGAACATGGAAAAATAAAAAAAATATGATTTGAAGATTGTATTAGGAGATCTAAATGCAAAAATTGGTCAAGAAGAATTGTTTAGACCAACGATTGGAAAATATAGCAAACATGAAGTTACAAACAACAATGCATTGTCAGATTTTAATAGACTTTGCTAGAGAGAAAGATATGATCATAAAAAGTACATATTTCCAAAAAAAAAGAAATACACAAAGGAACCTGGATTGCACCAGATGGAAAAACTGTAAATCAAATTGACCATGTCCTAATTGAAAGAATGGAAGAAAGAAGTATAACCGATGTAAGAAGTTATAGAGGACCAGATCTGGACACAGACCATTTCTTAGTAGGAGTAAAAATGAAGCAAATAGTACCAGTTGCAAAAAACAGGAAGAACCAAGAAAGCAAAAACTTAAAAACGTGTATTAGATTGAAAAATGGGGAGGAGAAGAAGAGGTATTTGGAAATGGTGAATGATTGGGTAGCAGGTGAAAGGTAAGATACAGAAGATATAGAAGATTTATGGTTGGAAGTTAAAAATGGAATAAAAAAGCGTCATCACAAAGCACTCAAGAAACAGATGGTTTGATAAGGAATGTGAAGAAGAATTAGAAAAAAGGACAACTTTAAGATTGAAGGTATTAAAAAGTGAAACAGAAGAACATTTAATGGCATACAAAGAACAGTGAAAAATATGTAAAAGGCTCTTACGCGAAAAGAAAAGAAAATATAAAGAAAGACTACTAGACAAGATAGAAGAAAACTACAAAAATAAAGAGATAAGAAGTATGTACCAAGGATTGAAACAAGAAAAAAAAGGATACCAATCAAGTTCGGTGTTCTATAAAAACGAAAAAGGTGAACTGGTAGGAAATGAAGAAACAATTTTAGAACTCTGGCAGAGGTACTTCGACGAACTCCTAAATGGGGAAGAAAATGGAGGAATGATAGAAGAAATTTAAACAAAGAAGATATACATGGTGAAGAAGAAGAGAAAGCACCAAGTCTAAGAGAAGTAAAGGAAATAATAAAGAAATTAAAAAATAACAAAAGTCCGGGAGAAGATCAAATAACGGCGGAATTACTAAAATACGAGGGAGAGAAGCTTGAAGAAAAGATACAAAAACTTTTAGAACAAATTTGGCTGCAAGAACAAATGCCACAAGATTGGAGCGAAGCTATTCTCATTCCAGTACATAAAAAGGGGGATAAGATGAAATGCTCCAACTATAGAGGAATAGCACTTCTGAATGTAGTCTATAAAATTCTTGCCTCGTATATAAAAGACCAAGTAATAAAAAAAGTAGAGAAGGAAATTGGAGAGTACCAAGGTGGCTTCAGGGCGAACAGGTCGGTAGTGGACCAGATATTTACACTAGGTGAGATACAAGCAGAAGGTTTTGAGTATAAAAAAGACACTTTTGTGTTATTCGTAGATTTCAAACAAGCATATGATAGAATCAAGCGCGAAAAGTTATATGAAGCTCTAAGAGAACTAGGTATGAAAAATAAGCTAATAAAGATGATAAAACTCACCTTAAAAGACACGGACAATAGAGTAAGAATCAAAGGAAAATTGTCAAAAAAATTTAAAGTGAAAGAAGGATTACGGCAAGGGGACCCCCTCTCGCCAATTCTATTTAATTGTGCGTTGGAATACGTGGTTAGGAAAGCCAATTTGAATAGATCAGGGTTGCTAAATCACAAAAGTCATCAGTGTCTAGCTTTTGCTGATGATGTAG